CAACAAAGGCAGCCATTTTTGATCTCTTTGTTTTTTCTCCCTGGTTTCCTCCCAGTTCTGATTATAGAACATTTTTTCCTTAGTGTCCTATAAAGTATCAAGTGAGTTGTCTGGAGAAAATGCTATCTTTTTAGCTCTTTTTTAATATCTGGTGCTGTCTGTAATTAGCTTAACTATAAGAGTAATCTGTCCCCCTACTGAATTAGCATCTCAAGAAGTATATTTTACCCAAACATTTTATGAAATCAGAGGGGTGTTTATCTTTTTTTTTGGGGGGGGGTAAACAGCTAAAATTTAATGACTGAAGGTTTGGTCTGAGTTTTTTAGACCTTTAAGAATACACACTAGAAAATATCTTTTATTATAATCTCCTGCCAGGCTATTAGGCCAGCAGGGGTCTGACTGCTTGGGCTCCAGTGGGAGCAGGTAATTTCTGTTACAGCTAAACCATGATAGACCAGCTGTTTTAAAATTAACAATATGACACTTATCTTTGAATGTAATGTCAGCTTATAATGCTGTCTGTCTTTTATTAGAACTTGGTTTAAGATTAACATTACATAAATATTTTAGCAACTAAATAAGATTTAACCTTGCAACTCACAGGTGAAACTTATTATCATTTATCATCACATTTTACATATTGGTAAAAACACAGTACAGCTGGCAAACATTTTATTTTTAGTTAACACGTAAAGCAGATGTAAGTTTTTAGTGATCAGAAGCCAGTTTTTACCAAGAACATTTGGGTATGGTGCCTTAACCCCTTAGGTATTCTTGTTTTTTTTTTTTTTTTTTTTTTTGGCTCATGTAAACAGAGATGTCTCCAGAAAGGAATCCAACATTTTTTTTTTTTTTTTGGTCAACATCCCATCAGCCACAGGCTTTAGTGTGGATTCACCAAAGAACGGCTGAGGGAACCTGTGCTGTTTTTAAAGAGTGGCAGCTGTTTTGAGATCATTTACTAGCTGGCAGAGTAACCACTGTTTATCCAAATCTTACAAGGAATATTTAAAAAGCCTGAACAAGATTATCTAAGCATTTTAC